TTTTTAGTTGTGTTTGCTAACTTTTTTAGTGTCAGAGTGGTTGACAAATGGAATGCATTAGGAAGTGATGTGGTGGAGGCTGACTCCATTCACAGTTTCAAGTGTAGATATGATAGAGCCCAATAGGCTCAGGAATCTGTACACCTGTTGATTGACGGTTGAGAGGCGGGACCAAAGTGCCAGAGCTCAACCCCCGTAAGCACAACTGGGTGAGTACACACACAGTTGATTGTGTGTACAAGTTGATTGACAGTTGAGAGGCGGGACCAAAGAGCCAGAGCTCAACCCCCGCAAGCACAACTGGGTGAGTACGCACACAGTTGATTGTGTGTACAAGTTGATTGACAGTTGAGAGGCGGGACCAAAGAGCCAGAGCTCAACCCCCGCAAGCACAACTAGGTGAGTACACACACACACACACCACCTGCCTGCATGTCATTACTGAAACTTTACCTGGAACCTGAATAATAAATTACACTTCTTTCACTGTACAATCACTGTATGTGTGCCGGTTAACCTCATACAATCAGTTAGCTATGCCTCACGTGTCTCTTCGTACAATCTCTCGAGTTGTAACAGCCTTTTGTAGCCTTGTTGGCTGCAAAAAGTTTCACAGGAGACCAGAAGACATGGCAGGATGTGCAGAATATCCCCGTTGAAAAGCAGAGGTGCAACAGGTTCTCTGAGAGAGAACTATCAACATCAGAGGCCCGAGACTGTTCAACACGCTTCCACTACACATAAGGGGCATAACTGGCCGATCCCTCACAGTGCTCAAGAGAGAACTCGATAAACACCTCCAAAGGATACCTAATCAACCAGGCTGTGACTCGTACGTCAGGCTTCGAACAGCCGCGTCCAACAGCCTGGTTGACCAGTCCAGCAACCAGGAGGCCTAGTCGACGACCGGGCCGCGGGGTAGCTGAGCCCCGGAATCACCCTCAAGGTAACCTCAAGGTTACCAGTACTTACACAGAGCGATAACGTCATCCGTATATGCCAACATTCAGGGTATTAACACACGCATATCAAAACATAACCCACTTTATAGTTGGCCTTCTAAGTGAGGAGAATGGTGAGTGTGTAGCCCCTAGGCTTGGGGGAGAAGACCTCCAACACACACACGCGACGGAGGAGCACGCTGCCGCCCCCGGCTCCGCGGTTATTAATGACATTGTAATTACACATCTAATAAGCCGCCATATTTGCATAGAGGCTGGACCCACGTCATTACGCTGGTGGCAGGGAGGTCTGGCGACGGGGGGAAGAAGCCGGAGTAGTAGTAGCCTTTGTAGCAGCAGCAGAAGCAGAAGCAGGAACAGTAGCAATAGGAACAGTTGCAGCAGGAACAGTGGCAGCAGGAGTATTAGTAAGAGAAGGAGTACAAGACCTAGGGCCAGATTCACGAAGCAGTTATGCAAGTACTTACGAACCTGTACATTTTTCCTCAATCTTTGATGGCTTTGGTTACATTTATTAAACAGTTTACAAGCATGATAACTTCTGAATCAACTGTTGTTACTGTTATAAACAGCCTCCTGGTGCTTCGGAGCTGATTAACTGTTTAATAATTGTAAACAAAGCCGCCAAAGATTGAGACAAGATGTACAGGTTCGTAAGTGCTTGTGTAACTGCTTCGTGAAGCTGTCCTCAGCCCACCACCAGTGAGCAGGTCCCAGTGGTCGGCGTTCCTAGCGGTTCCACTGCCTCATCTCATGCATTATTCATCGCTAAAAATCCAAATATTTAAATTGATCGCAATAGTGGTCACTTATATGTGGTGATGGGGCATCTCTCCCCATCAGCCCTCCCCATCTCCCATCACTTCAGAACGGCGGTGATGGGGCATCTCTCCCCATCAGCCCTCCCCATCTCCCATCACTTCAGAACGGCGGTGATGGGGCATCTCTCCCCATCAGCCCTCCCCATCTCCCATCACTTCCGAACGGCGGTGATGGGAACGCTGGTGTCTATAACTACTACCGCTGTCGATCTCCAGAGTGAAGGGGACTGTCAGGGGGAAAGCGCCAGGACATTACGACTATATAGCACTTGGAAGATCAGGATAAGGACTTGGGATGGGACGGCGGGGAGGAGTGGTGAGAGTGATTTTGATATAGGGATAGGGCTGGCCTTCTCACAACTTGGTAAGTGTTAAGGCTGAAATGGTTGTGGCTAACCTGAAGCGTTTAGGCAACCCAGACACGCCTCGGTCCAGGAGACAGGCTTGGAGAGCAGGAGAACTCTCGGAACCGTACACAGGTAAACTCTAGGTAAAACTCTAGAGTTTTACTCGTGAAAACAACTTATTATACCCCCACAACCCCTCGCCACACCTCATTATACCCTCACAACCCCTCACCACACCTCATTATACCCCCACAACCCCTCACCACACTTCATTATATCCCCACAACCCCTCGCCACACCTCATTATACCCTCACAACCCCTCACCACACCTCATTATACCCCCACAACCCCTCACAAGGGCGCGCTACACGGGACTGGAGGCTGGAGCCCAACTCATCACTAATGCAAGTCTCAATTTTCTTGGATGGGCGGGCGTGGGAACCTGACGATGGGCCAGGGCGGGCGTGGGGGGTGGAAGGGGCTGACGAAGGCGGGGGGAGGGCGGAAGGGGCTGACGAAGGCGTGGGGGGAGGTGGAAGGGGCTGACGAAGGCGGGGGGGGGGCGGAGGACGGAAGGGGCTGACGAAGGCGTGAGGGGAGGGCGGAAGGGGCTGACGAAGGCGGGGGGGAGGTGGAAGGGGCTGACGAAGGCGGGGGGGAGGGCGGAAGGGGCTGACGAAGGCGTGGGGGGAGGTGGAAGGGGCTGACGAAGGCGGGGGGAGGTGGAAGGGGCTGACGAAGGCGGGGGGGGGGGGAGGGCGGAAGGGGCTGACGAAGGCGTGGGGGGAGGTGGAAGGGGCTGACGAAGGCGGGGGGGAGATGGAAGGGGCTGACGAAGGCGGGGGGGAGGGCGGAAGGGGCTGACGAAGGCGTGGGGGAGGGCGGAAGGGGCTGACGAAGGCGGGGGGCAGGTGGAAGGGGCTGACGAAGGCGGGGGGGAGGGCGACAGGGGCTGACGAAGGCGTGGGGGGAGGTGGAAGGGGCTGACGAAGGCGGGGGGAGGTGGAAGGGGCTGACGAAGGCGGGGGGGAGGTGGAAGGGGCTGACGAAGGCGGGGGGAGGGCGGAAGGGGCTGACGAAGGCGGGGGGGAGGTGGAAGGGGCTGACGAAGGCGGGGGGGGGGAGGTGGAAGGGGCTGACGAAGGCGTGGGGGGAGGTGGAAGGGGCTGACGAAGGCGTGGGGGGAGGCGGAAGGGGCTGACGAAGGCGGGGGGGAGGTGGAAGGGGCTGACGAAGGCGTGGGGGGAGGTGGAAGGGGCTGACGAAGGCGGGGGGGGGAGGCGGAAGGGGCTGACGAAGGCGGGGGGGAGGTGGAAGGGGCTGACGAAGGCGGGGGGGGAGGTGGAAGGGGCTGACGAAGGCGGGGGGGAGGTGGAAGGGGCTGACGAAGGCGTGGGGGGAGGTGGAAGGGGCTGACGAAGGCGTGGGGGGAGGCGGAAGGGGCTGACGAAGGCGTGGGGGGAGGCGGAAGGGGCTGACGAAGGCGGGGGGGGGGGAGGTGGAAGGGGCTGACGAAGGCGGGGGGGAGATGGAAGGGGCTGACGAAGGCGTGGGGGAGGCGGAAGAAGAAATGATCAGAAGGCAAGTTGCTGACGCTGCCTCCTCCCACGCCTTCAAAAGCTGTTTTGACACTTCACGTGGTTCTGAGGGTGGCACTATAGATGGCAGGGTGGCACTGGTAATGGCAGGGTGGCACTATAGATGGCAGGGTGGCATTATAGATGGCAGGGTGGCACTATAGATGGCAGGGTGGCACTATAGATGGCAGGGTGGCATTATAGATGGCAGGGTGGCACTATAGATGGCAGGGTGGCACTATAGATGACAGGGTGGCACTATAGATGACAGGGTGGCACTATAGATGACTGGGTGGCACTAAAGATGGCAGGGTGGCACTATAGATGACAGGGTGGCACTATAGATGGCACTTACTGAGTTCTGAGAGTGAATGCAGCACTGGTGATGGCACTTACTGGGTTCTGAGAGTGAATGCAGCACTGATGATGGCACTTACTGGGTTCTGAGAGTGAAGGCAGCACTGATGATGGCACTTACTGGGTTCTGAGAGTGAATGCAGCACTGGTGATGGCACTTACTGGGTTCTGAGAGTGAATGCAGCACTGGTGATGGCACTTACTGGGTTCTGAGAGTGAATGCAGCACTGGTGATGGCACTTACTGGGTTCTGAGAGTGAATGCAGCACTGGTGATGGCACTTACTGGGTTCTGAGAGTGAAGGCAGCACTGATGATGGCACTTACTGGGTTCTGAGAGTGAAGGCAGCACTGATGATGGCACTTACTGGGTTCTGAGAGTGAATGCAGCACTGGTGATAGCACTTACTGGGTTCTGAGAGTGAATGCAGCACTGGTGATGGCACTTACTGGGTTCTGAGAGTGAATGCAGCACTGGTGATGGCACTTACTGGGTTCTGAGAGTGAATGCAGCACTGGTGATGGCACTTACTGGGTTCTGAGTGAATGCAGCACTGATGATGGCACTTACTGGGTTCTGAGAGTGAAGGCAGCACTGATGATGGCACTTACTGGGTTCTGAGAGTGAATGCAGCACTGGTGATGGCACTTACTGGGTTCTGAGAGTGAATGCAGCACTGGTGATGGCACTTACTGGGTTCTGAGAGTGAATGCAGCACTGGTGATGGCACTTACTGGGTTCTGAGAGTGAATGCAGCACTGGTGATGGCACTTACTGGGTTCTGAGTGAATGCAGCACTGATGATGGCACTTACTGGGTTCTGAGTGAAGGTAGCACTGATGATGGCACTTACTGGGTTCTGAGAGTGAATGCAGCACTGGTGATGGCACTTACTGGGTTCTGAGAGTGAATGCAGCACTGGTGATGGCACTTACTGGGTTCTGAGAGTGAATGCAGCACTGGTGATGGACGAAGGAAGTTTCAGACCTTTGATAATTTCTTGCCAGAGTTTCTTGTTGATGACGTCGACCAGACCCCCGCGAGCCACAACCAGGTTGTACAGTTCATACAGGTCCAGAACCTGCTTGGCCATGATGGGCAGCCGGTTGATGGGCGTACCTGATGGGCAGAGAGTAAGGTGTTAGTGGTGCATGGTCGTGATGGGCAGCCGGTTGATGGGCGTACCTGATGGGCAGAGAGTAAGGTGTTAGTGGTGCTTGGTCGTGATGGTGTAACACTATAAAAGTGTTTGGGTTAGTTTATTTAAAATATATATAGAATATGAGTCACAGACAGGGATTTGGAAAGGCGCCAGTTGTCTGCCTGAGATCTCACACCTCAAAGCGTTAATGACCTCAAGTGACCTGAGGTCAGATCATGAGAATTTCACCTTGCTTCCGCTAAGCTCTTAATTGTAGGCTGGTAGCCTTCAAACAAGCCGACGTTTAAGGAGTGGCTTGGTAGTGCCGGAGGCTATCTACTTGTGGGCGGAGTTAGCTACTAGGTTCCCCAATATAAACTCGGAGAGCTATCCAGCAGAAAGGATTAACAGACAGAACAGCAGACGAGAGCAGAGACGTCCCTATCAGGGAGGCTGTCGGCCGGCAAGGGCGGGAGTCTCTGTCAACTACAGACCCCCCCCCCCTCTCTATTCAACTTAGACTCAGTCCTCGGTGAGTGAACATTAAGGTGACTTGGTCGTGTTTACATATGTTGTGTGATGATCAGGGGCAGTCAAGTTGTAGGGTTCTCGAATTCTTGGATAATGACTCTCTTTAACATTTTAATTGAATTGCTACATTATGATACTTCATGTGAAATATAATTATGAATTTATTATTTAAATTGTGTTTAACTTTGTTCCCTAGAGCTTTGAGTTGAGGTGAGAAAGCCTCGGTGGTTACTAGATTCAAGATATTAATGAGTACTTGTTTGGAGTTGATACATGGTACAGAGGGAACATACTAATAATGAACTCATGATAACATCCTTGGAGAATTTTGTGATACAGGCAAGTTCCATTCCTTGTCTTGTATGTAATGATCATGAATGGATGGTGGCAGCATTTCGTCTTCTACTATCTACTCTTCTACTTCTACTATCTACTCTTCTCCTTCTACCTATCTACACCTCTCCCTCCACCCTTCTCTAAACTCTCACTTTCAACTAATGACCCTCCTCGCTCCTCCCACCTCTCTGCCTCTCACCCCAAACCCTCACTAATTACTTCACTATTCATTTCTTTCCTTTCGTTTTCACTTATACGTTTGTGGCAATGATTCTGTATTCTAGAGTTCTCTCTAGAGTTTCGGGTAGCTGATCAAGTGACGGCGCCTTGTAGTCTTAGCACCTAGGTAGTCGAATACCTAGGTTACAAGGTGTTGAACGAGAGAGGCTGCCTTAGGAACTCTGGGAGTGCTCTAGAATAGTTAGCTAACTGGGGACGGGATAACGGACTAGAGAGAGCTGTTTCCCCCGGCCTCGTTAGTTAACTGGGGGGTGGAATAATGGACAAGATAGAGATATTTCCCCCACCCCCCGTTACAATGTTGGCAGCGGTGTTGAACAATGTTGTAGGTAGTTGGTGTTCTTTTAACATTGTTCAGTCCCACGTGTCTTTTTGCCGCTCAGGCGCTATCAGGGAGATCTTGACAGGTGTTTAATATTCGCGAGTTAGCGAACTTTTTTCAGGTTAGGAGATAGTGATTCTCTGGTGTTGTGTTTAGTGATTTTGTGAGTTTTGTGGTGTTCAGGGAATGTTCACCAGAACTTGCGTGTGTAGTGATTTATGTTAGTAATAAGATTTGGCGATTTGGGAACTTAGCGGTGTTGGTAGTGCAGGTCAGCTGAGTGTGACAGGTGACCTCGCATGTCCCACGGGGACACCCAGCCACCGCTGGTCTCCAGGTCAGTGGGGAGTGGCAGGTGTAGTTCTTAAATAGATTTTAAGTAGTTTTTAGTGGTTCTGCTCAGATTATTGCGATCGACTGTTTTACTCCATTTGAACGCAATAACCCGAGGTGTACTGGTCTTGTACAGCATGCTAGGGGGAGCCTTAGTATGTCAGTAGACTTCACGTTGGGGACGCTCGACGTTAGATAGTCTGGTCACAGGGGTGGCAACAGTTTGGAGTTGTTGAACGGCGGAGATGCTAGGGAGACACTCTGGGTCACGTAGGTGGCTGTAGGTTAAGGGTGGGAGTAATGGTTAATTATGTACTTAAGATTAGGAACGGTACAGTTAAGTTTAGGCTAGTGTTTTGTCTATTAGTGTTGATTTTTTTTTTGTGACAAGTTAAAGGTAGTGATGACCTTATTCTCTCTTCTCTAACTTTCCTCTGTTACTGTCTTATGTTCCACCAAGTCAGTATCATTCAGAGTTAATTGGATTATTAAAAAAAAAAAAAATTGAAGTGTAGTTGTTGCCAGGAGGAGAGCGTTATGATATAACTGTGTAACCCTATACAAACTACAGGGTCACACAACAGCATGGAACACGGGTATTGTCGCCTTTATGTTCAATTCACAGGTGGGAGCCAGAGGAGAGGCGCGACGCATATACAGAAGAGGGAGACGGCTGCTGTGTACCACACTCAGGGGCGTTTATCACCACCACCACGACCAGCCCACTACCTGGAGGTCATGGCTCCACCACCACCACCACCCCAGGGGACCCCAAGACGCAGCCCTCTCGGTCGGTCAACATTGGTCTACCCAGTGGACCCCAGGTCGTTCTGCAGACGACCCCAGACGACCCAGTAATGATGGAAGAGGAGCAACAACGACTCCAGTCTGTCCCACCAACATCGGTCTACCCAGGATGGACCCCAGGACGGACGGACCCCAATGGACCCCAGGTCGCTTGTCAAAGACCCATGGGAGGAGGAAGAGAGAAGAAAGAAGAAAGAAGAGAGAAGAAAGAAGAGAGAAGAAAGAAGAGAGAAGAAAGAAGAAGATAAGCCAAGCTGAGACACGATACCTAGTGTCCCTTGCTGGTGTCAGCATTATTGCATGGAGCGTAATTGCAAGACAGGATCGTTTGCCTTGACTGGCCGCCCCTCCTACAAGCATGTTGCTCTGTTGAGTGATTCTTCCTGTGTCATGCGGACTTGATGTGGCTGTCAGAAGTAGCTCTCTGAAGGAGGCGTGCTGGAGCAACAGGGAGGAAGAAGAGTAGGATGGGATTTCTACTGTTGGCAACTATATGAAGGTCTCGAAACTTGTAGTCCCTATAGCTGTGAAGAACCCCAATATACGTCTCTCATGGTGACTGACGTAGGGCCAATTACAGATCAGCTGGGACAACCGAATTCCACGGTCCTGTGCTCAGTTCAAGTAGTAACGGCTTTCGGGTTGACCAAGTGTTGTTGTGCGTTAACGACGGAGAAGCGACGGAGGCAGTTGTGTTGAAGAAATGTGGTACAGGATTATCTACAAGACCAAGCAGTGACGTCGCCCAGCCAGAGACAATGGACGTCTGTCTACATATTTCATTTTTTAGAGTAGGATGATGTATATTTGTTTAGCTAGGATGTATTTTTTTTTTCGTTAATAAAGTTGTTGCACACAGCTAGCTTGCTTTAGCAGTGTTGCAAAAACTTTATTTCGGGGAGAAGGGGAGATGTAACACTATAAAAGTGTTTGGGTTAGTTTATTTAAAATATATATAGAATATGAGTCACAGACAGGGATTTGGAAAGGCGCCAGTTGTCTGCCTGAGATCTCACACCTCAAAGCGTTAATGACCTCAAGTGACCTGAGGTCAGATCATGAGAATTTCACCTTGCTTCCGCTAAGCTCTTAATTGTAGGCTGGTAGCCTTCAAACAAGCCGACGTTTAAGGAGTGGCTTGGTAGTGCCGGAGGCTATCTACTTGTGGGCGGAGTTAGCTACTAGGTTCCCCAATATAAACTCGGAGAGCTATCCAGCAGAAAGGATTAACAGACAGAACAGCAGACGAGAGCAGAGACGTCCCTATCAGGGAGGCTGTCGGCCGGCAAGGGCGGGAGTCTCTGTCAACTACAGACCCCCCCCCCTCTCTATTCAACTTAGACTCAGTCCTCGGTGAGTGAACATTAAGGTGACTTGGTCGTGTTTACATATGTTGTGTGATGATCAGGGGCAGTCAAGTTGTAGGGTTCTCGAATTCTTGGATAATGACTCTCTTTAACATTTTAATTGAATTGCTACATTATGATACTTCATGTGAAATATAATTATGAATTTATTATTTAAATTGTGTTTAACTTTGTTCCCTAGAGCTTTGAGTTGAGGTGAGAAAGCCTCGGTGGTTACTAGATTCAAGATATTAATGAGTACTTGTTTGGAGTTGATACATGGTACAGAGGGAACATACTAATAATGAACTCATGATAACATCCTTGGAGAATTTTGTGATACAGGCAAGTTCCATTCCTTGTCTTGTATGTAATGATCATGAATGGATGGTGGCAGCATTTCGTCTTCTACTATCTACTCTTCTACTTCTACTATCTACTCTTCTCCTTCTACCTATCTACACCTCTCCCTCCACCCTTCTCTAAACTCTCACTTTCAACTAATGACCCTCCTCGCTCCTCCCACCTCTCTGCCTCTCACCCCAAACCCTCACTAATTACTTCACTATTCATTTCTTTCCTTTCGTTTTCACTTATACGTTTGTGGCAATGATTCTGTATTCTAGAGTTCTCTCTAGAGTTTCGGGTAGCTGATCAAGTGACGGCGCCTTGTAGTCTTAGCACCTAGGTAGTCGAATACCTAGGTTACAAGGTGTTGAACGAGAGAGGCTGCCTTAGGAACTCTGGGAGTGCTCTAGAATAGTTAGCTAACTGGGGACGGGATAACGGACTAGAGAGAGCTGTTTCCCCCGGCCTCGTTAGTTAACTGGGGGGGTGGAATAATGGACAAGATAGAGCTATTTCCACCACCCCCCGTTACAATGGGCAGCCGGTTGATGGGCGTACCTGATGGGCAGAGAGTAAGGTGTTAGTGGTACATGGTCGTGATGGGCAGCCGGTTGATGGGCGTACCTGATGGGCAGAGAGTAAGGTGTTAGTGGTGCTTGGTCGTGATGGGCAGCCGGTTGATGGGCATACCTGATGGGCAGAGAGTAAGGTGTTAGTGGTGCTTGGCCATGATGGGCAGCCGGTTGATGGGCGTACCTGATGGGCAGAGTAAGAGCACTACCAACAGTAACACAAGCAGAGGTGCCAGAAGCAGAGGTGCCAGTAACAAGCAGAGGTGCCAGTAACACAAGCAGAGGTGCCAGAAGCAGAGGTGCCAGTAACAAGCAGAGGTGCCAGTTACACAAGCGAGGTGCCAGTAACACAAGCAGTGGTGCCAGTTACACAAGCAGAGGTGTCAGAAACAGAGGTGCCAGTAACACGAGCAGAGGTGCCAGTAACAAGCAGAGGTGCCAGTTACACAAGCAGAGGTGCCAGTAACACAAGCAGTGGTGCCAGTTACACAAGCAGAGGTGTCCGAAACAGAGGTGCCACTAACACGAGCAGAGGTGCCAGTAACAAGCAGAGGTGCCAGTTACACAAGCAGAGGTGCCAGTAACACAAGCAGTGGTGCCAGAAGCATAGGTGCCAAAAACAGAGGTGCCAGTAACAGGGGTGCCAGTAACAGAGGTGCCAGAAGCAGAGGTGCCAGTAACACGAGCAGAGGTGCCAGAAGCAGAGGTGCCAGTAACAGAGGTGCCAGTAACAAAGGTGCCAGTAACACGAGCAGAGGTGCCAGAAGCAGAGGTGCCAGTAACAGAGGTGCTAGAAGCAGACGTGCCAGTAACACGAGCAGAGGTGCCAGAAGCAGAGGTGCCAGTAACACGAGCAGAGGTGCCAGTAACACGAGCAGAGGTGCCAGAAGTAGAGGTGCCAGTAACAAAGGTGCCAGAGACAGAGGTGCCAGTAACAGAGGTGCCAGAGACAGAGCCAGAAACACGAGCAGAGGTGCAAGTAACACAAGCAGAGGTGCCAGTAACAGAGGTGCCAGAAGCAGGTGCCAGTAACACAAGCAGAGGTGCCAGTAACACAAGCAGTGGTGCCAGAAACAGAGGTGCCAGTAACACGAGCAGAGGTGCCAGAAGCAGAGGTGCCAGTAACACAAGCAGTGGTGCCAGAAGCAGAGGTGCCAGTAACAGAGGTGCCAGAGGTGCCAGAGGCAGAGGTGCCAGTAACAGAGGTGCCAGAGACAGAGCCAGAAACAGAGGTGCCAGTAACACGAGCAGAGGTGCCAGAAGCAGAGGTGCCAGTAACACGAGCAGAGGTGCCAGAAGCAGAGTTGCTAGTAAGACAAGCAGAGGTGCCAGAAGCAGAGGTGCCAGTAACAGAGGTGCTAGAAGCAGAGTTGCCAGTAACACGAGCAGAGGTGCCAGTAACACAAGCAGAGGTGCCAGTAACAAAGGTGCCTGTAAGAGGTGCCAGTAACAGAGGTGCCAGAAGCAGAGGTGCCAGCTTGCATGGGTCATCAAAAGTATCACGAGTGACAAATGAAGTCCGGACGATGCCAGAGTGACACTGTTATTAATGGACCAACAACAATTAGTGCCGCTCCCAGCCTGGCTGGGTAGGGGGGGAGGGGGGAGGGGGTGGCAGGTGGCACTGGGGTGGTGGCAGGAAGGATGGCAGGCGGCGGCAGAGGCCGGGGAACCAATATCACTCCCGCTCACCACTCGCCTGATTAATGCCACCATCTCTGTCACAGAAACCTATCAAAGCTGGTGTCTAGTCCTTGTAGCTCGGTCCTCTCAGCTCTGGTACTCAGTCGTGAGCGCCGGAGTCCACCAATTCCACCAGTACCTGCACTCTAACCTTAGTGACGAGAGCTCATGTACACAAAGATTGGTCTGGGGGGTTAGCCACTGGTGTTCATGTGGTATTCTTCGTGCCTATGGCTCCTCCACTCCTCACTGGCTCTATTCTGCATTTCCTGCCATATCGCAAGCTCCAGCAAGCTATTATTTGACTGTGTATATTTGGGATCAGACCTTTTCAGACTGCCCGGGACTTTTCGGGCACCTCTGATATCTCTTGTGTGTTCTGTCTAACTCTCTTTCTGGAGCATACTTGGAGAGGGTTCTGGGAGTTCATCTACTCCCTGAGCCCGGCCTAAGGCCAGGCTACACTTGTGATAACTTGGTCCAACAGGCTGTTGCTTGGAACGGCCCGCAGGCCCACATATCCACCACAGCTGGGTTGGTCCGGCACTTCTTGAAGAACTTATCTAAGTGCCTCTTGAATACATCAACCTTTTTTCCAGCAGTAATTTCTGCATTTCTAATGTTTGAAATCTCTCTCTCTCTCATATTATATATATATATATATATATATATATATATATATATATATATATATATATATATATATATATATATATATATATATATATATATTATAATCTGTGTTTGTGTCTATATGTCAGTGTGTGTGTGTATAACTCCACCACCACCACCTCCTCCCCCACCACCACCACCACTACCACCACCTCCTCCCCCACCACCACCACCACTACCACCACCTCCTCCCCCACCACCACCACCACTACCACCACCTCCTCCCCCACCACCACCACCTCCTCCCCCACCACCACCACCTCCTCCCCCCCCCCCCCACCACCACCTACCCCATCCCCCCCCCCCACCAACACCTCCATCTTACATAATAACACAAGGCGAGCTAATAAGCCAGGTAGAGTCGCCAGCACTTGAAGGATCTGGACAAAAAACTCAGTGGTTATCCACTCAGACAAAAAGTTAATAATGAACATCCGTCCATAAGTCACACCAACAGTTAACATTAACCAGCCCATTACTGTGATGACTGTGTTAGCAGGGCGGCCCACGGTGATAGGAGACGGAGGATAAAGCAGGAAGTAAGGAGGAAGAGACGAGAGAAGAGAAGGAAGAGAGAGAGAGAGAGGAAGGGAGGGAGAGAGAAGAGAAGGGGAACTATCAGGAGAAAGCGCCAAGCCATTAGGACTATATAGCCCTGGAAAGGGATCAGGATTTGGGATGGGACAGGAAGGGGGAAGGAATGATATCAAAGCCCTTGGACCGTCGGGGATTGAACGCCGACCTGCATGAAGCGAGACCTCATCCTCCCAGGAATCCCGGCCTCTGACCACACCAGGTTATCTTGAGGTTATCTTGAGATGATTTCGGGGCGTTTTTTTAGTGTCCCCGCGGCCCGGTCCTCGACCAGGCCTCCACCCCCAGGAAGCAGCCCGTGACAGCTGACTAACACCCAGGTACCTATTTTACTGCTAGGTAACAGGGGCATAGGGTGAAAGAAACTCTGCCCATTGTTTCTCGCCGGCGCCTGGGCTCGAACCCAGGACCACAGGATCACAATTCCAGCGTGCTGTCCGCTTGGCCGACCGGCTCCGACCTGGCTGACATTTTGTTTTTCTTCATTAGCTAAACTACAATAATTGGGTCGTTGCCCTGCCACACCCTTATGGTCACACCACGACTCTTCAAGACCTCGTGAAGACGCGGCCATATCTCCAACCACCGTCCAGATAACTGTCCAACTACCCACCAAGACATTAACTACCAACCGAAGAGTAAACTACCCACCAAGTACTCAAAATCACGGTCGTCTGAGGCCTGAGACTCGCTATAGCTCCTTCCTAGTTAATACCCAATTGTAACTATGTGACATATGAAGACGTGGGTGGTGGTGACGGTGTTGTGGGTGGTGGTGACGGTGGTGTGGGTGGTGGTGATGGTGTTGTGGGTGGTGGTGACGGTGGTGTGGGTGGTGGTGACGGTGGTGTGGGTGGTGGTGATGGTGCTGTGGGTGGTGGTGACGGTGGTGTGGGTGGTGGTGACGGTGCTGTGGGTGGTGGTGACGGTGTTGTGGGTGGTGGTGACGGTGCTGTGGGTGTTGGTGACGGTGGTGTGGGTGGTGGTGACGGTGCTGTGGGTGTTGGTGACGGTGGTGTGGGTGGTGGTGACGGTGCTGTGGGTGTTGGTGACGGTGGTGTGGGTGGTGGTGACGGTGCTGTGGGTGTTGGTGACGGTGGTGTGGGTGGTGGTGACGGTGCTGTGGGTGGTGGTGACGGTGGTGTGGGTGGTGGTGACGGTGTTGTGGGTGGTGGTGACGGTGCTGTGGGTGGTGGTGACGGTGGTGTGGGTGGTGATGACGGTGCTGTGGGTGGTGGTGACGGTGCTGCGGACGGTGGTGACGGTGCTGTGGGTGTTGGTGACGGTGGTGTGGGTGGTGGTGACGGTGCTGTGGGTGTTGGTGACGGTGCTGTGGGTGGTGGTGACGGTGCTGTGGGTGTTGGTGACGGTGGTGTGGGTGACGGTGCTGCGGACGGTGGTGACGGTGGTGTGGGTGGTGGTGATGGTGGTGTGGGTGGTGGTGATGGTGGTGTGGGTGGTGGTGACGGTGCTGTGGGTGGTGGTGACGGTGCTGCGGACGGTGGTGTGGGTGGTGGTGATGGTGGTGTGGGTGGTGGTGATGGTGGTGTGGGTGGTGGTGACGGTGGTGTGGGTGTTGGTGACGGTGTTGTGGGTGGTGGTGATGGTGGTGTGGGTGGTGGTGATGGTGGTGTGGGTGGTGGTGATGGTGGTGTGGGTGGTGGTGATGGTGGTGTGGGTGGTGGTGATGGTGGTGTGGGTGGTGGTGACGGTGCTGTGGGTGGTGGTGACGGTGCTGCGGACGGTGGTGACGGTGGTGTGGGTGGTGGTGATGGTGGTGTGGGTGGTGGTGATGGTGGTGTGGGTGGTGGTGACGGTGGTGTGGGTGGTGGTGACGGTGCTGCGGACGGTGGTGACGGTGGTGTGGGTGGTGGTGATGTGGTGGTGTGGGTGGTGGTGACGGTGGTGTGGGTGGTGGTGACGGTGCTGCGGACTGTGGTGACGGTGCTGTGGGTGGTGGTGATGGTGGTGTGGGTGGTGTGGTGTGTGGTGTGGGTGCTGTGGGTGGTGGTGCTGTGGGTGGTGGTGACGGTGCTGCGGACGGTGGTGACGGTGGTGTGGGTGGTGGTGATGGTGGTGTGGGTGGTGGTGATGGTGGTGTGGGTGGTGGTGACGGTGGTGTGGGTGTTGGTGACGGTGTTGTGGGTGGTGGTGATGGTGGTGTGGGTGGTGGTGATGGTGGTGTGGGTGGTGGTGATGGTGGTGTGGTGCTGTGGTGATGGTGCTGTGGGTGGTGCTGTGGTGCTGGTGCTGTGGCCTGGTGCTGTGGGTGGTGGTGCTGTGGCCGGGTGCTGTGGCCTGGTGCTGGGTGCTGTGGCCTGGTGCTGTGGTGGTGGTGCTGTGGCCTGGTGCTGTGGCCTGGTGCTGTGGCCTGGTGCTGTGGCCTGGTGCTGTGGCCTGGTGCTGTGGCCTGGTGCTGTGCTGTGCTGTGGTGCTGTGGGTGCTGTGGTGCTGTGGCGGTGGTGCTGTGTGCCTGGTGCTGTGGCCTGGTGCTGTGGCCTGGTGCTGTGGCCTGGTGCTGTGGCCTGGTGCTGTGGCCTGGTGCTGTGGCCTGGTGCTGTGGCCTGGTGCTGTGGCCTGGTGCTGTGGCCTGGTGCTGTGGCCTGGTGCTGTGGCCGTGGTGCTGTGGCCTGGTGCTGTGGCCTGGTGCTGTGGCCTGGTGCTGTGGCCTGGTGCTGTGGCCTGGTGCTGTGGCCTGGTGCTGTGGGTGGTGCTGTGGCCTGGTGCTGTGGTGGTGCTGTGGTGCTGTGGCCTGGTGCTGTGGCCTGGTGCTGTGGCCTGGTGCTGTGGCCGGGTGCTGTGGCCTGGTGCTGTGGCCTGGTGCTGTGGCCTGGTGCTGTGGTGGTGCTGTGGCCTGGTGCTGTGGCCTGGTGCTGTGGCCTGGTGCTGTGGCCTGGTGCTGTGGCCTGGTGCTGTGGCCTGGTGCTGTGGCCTGGTGCTGTGGCCTGGTGCTGTGGCCTGGTGGTGCTGTGTGCCTGGTGCTGTGGCCTGGTGCTGTGGCCTGGTGCTGTGGCCTGGTGCTGTGGCCTGGTGCTGTGGCCTGGTGCTGTGGCCTGGTGCTGTGGCCTGGTGCTGTGGCCTGGTGCTGTGGCCTGGTGCTGTGGCCTGGTGCTGTGGCCTGGTGCTGTGGCCTGGTGCTGTGGCCTGGTGCTGTGGCCGGGTGCTGTGGCCTGGTGCTGTGGCCGGGTGCTGTGGGTGGTGGTGCTGTGTGCCTGGTGCTGTGGCCTGGTGCTGTGGCCTGGTGCTGTGGCCTGGTGCTGTGGCCTGGTGGTGGCTGGTGCTGTGGCCTGGTGCTGTGGCCTGGTGCTGTGGCCGTGGTGCTGTGGCCGTGGTGCTGTGGTGGCCTGGTGCTGTGGCCTGGTGCTGTGGCCGGGTGCTGTGGCCTGGTGCTGTGGCCTGGTGCTGTGGCCTGGTGCTGTGGCCTGGTGCTGTGGCCTGGTGCTGTGGGTGGGTGCTGTGGGGTGGTGCTGTGGTGGTGGTGC